ATGCGTGTTAGCAAAGCAGCACTTTGAGCCATTTTTAGAATCCTTGTAGAGATGATAATGGCAATGATACTATAATAATATTACTGATAAGTTATCTTCTGAGAAATCTAAAAATAATATATAAGATGGTATATCTTTTATATTTATAAAAGCCACATATATATATATATATATACATATATATATATATATACATAGTAATTATAGAATAAATGTATAAGGAATATAATATGTAAGTACTGCTTAAAATTTATAGCATATTTATTTATTTTATGCCATAGTATGTACATTTATTAGTCATTTAACTTACAATTGTCTTTAGGTATGACAAAGAGAAAACATCGTGTACCATATATAGTGCGTCAAAAAGACTAGGTTAGATATAGTCAAGTTAGGTTTACTTATGACAACCACACGTTATGATAGATACACGTGTAGAGGTATGTTTTGCATGGCAATTGATTGAAATGAAACTGTTGGAAGAAATCTATCAATCTGCTAAAAAGTTTGATAAGATTATATGAAAAGTTTTACTTAAAAGGAGAAAAATTTATAAGTTTAAAGTATTTATTTGAACACTGTTCTTTAAGATTACTTTGTTTTTGTTTTATCCAGATCAAATATAAAATGTTACACACACAAAAGCTTTTTATCTGTAATATTACTTCCTGGTCAAGAAGGACTAGACATATCATAAATGTATATTGTTCAACATTGATCAATGACAATTTACCTAAACAGAAGGAAAACATTGATGTTCGAGAGACGAAGGAACTGATTGAAATAAAAACAGAATTATCGAAAACGAACAAGAAAAAGAAGAAAGTAATGAAATATATCGAAAAGTCTATATCATGTGATAAAGAGATTTTAGACATTATTAATTATATACAAAAAGTTAATCCAGATGTAAGTGATATCATTCAATTATTGGGAGATAAAAATATATCATTTAAAAAAGCGAATACAACTATATTACATCTGATTGATAAAGATACTGCTGCAAAATATGTTTCTTTGATAAAAAATGACCTTTCGAAGAATATGTGTTACGTTGCTGAATTGAATCCTGGTTTTGGCATATTGACAAGAGAATTATTGAAAGCTGGAGTACCACTAATTCACTTGTATGAAAGTAATTTAGGATTACATAAGATACTGGAAATAATCTGTACAAAATATCCTGAAAAACTGAAACTGATCTCTTTTAAATCTAATCTCTTTGGAATAACAAGAGCGTTTTACGATGATAAAGCTACTAAGAAATATCAAGATAGTTTTAAAGCGATAGAGAGCAAAAATTGGGAAGATGAAACTTACATGCAAATAATAGGTGCATGTGATGATGCTAATTTATTTACCTTTATTATACAAAATTTAATTTTTCGCAATGGTTTTATGTTTTATGGAAGGCCTGTTTTCTATATCGCGATACTTCCATCCGTATGGAATGTTAGTATATATTCTTTTTTTTAGAAGTATACTTAATAAAATCATATTAATATTTGGTTTTAATATGTTTTAGAAATATAATATTTTAACTAGTTTAAACAAATATACCTATACGAAAGTGATGTTCAAATTAATGTTTAATTATGAACTCCTCGGAACATTGAGCAGAGAAGCTTTTATACCTTGGCCGAAAAAGAAACAATATAAACGTAATCCAACTATTTTATCGGCAAAACAAAATTACGAGCAGTTGTATGTGATAAAACTTGAACCCAAAGCTGACATTTACACACAATTATCGTCAAAAGATTGGATAATATTTTCCTATTTCGTGAGACACCATATGCAGAAACGTTGTAATAGGGTGATACCTGCATTAGAGTAAGTATGAAAAAAACTATAAGGTTTCTGTCAAATATTGTTTGTTTTGGAGAATTTTAAATACATCTTTTACAATAATATATTGTTTTGTCTCTAGGAAATGGATACCAGGCTGTGGAATTAAACTCATAGCCAAAGATTATACGATATATACACAATTTGGAGACTTGACGCCAACACAAATTCTGGAACTCTTTAAAGAATTTAAGTCCTGGCCAGACTACAAAGAGAGCCATTTCATAGAATCTATGAAAGCTTCTGTAGGTGCACATAACGAATTCGAATTTCTTAATGAATAATCCTGCAGCACATTTCTTATAAATATAATTTATAAATATATTTTATTTCTTATAAATATATAATTGTAAAATAATCATCTTTTAACATTTTTAAATATTCCAGAAAGTTTTAGCTTTCCTCTTTACTATTTTCTTGTGAGCAATTTAATCATCTCAGATTATCATTAAAAATCATATTTTCTTGGAAATTCCTTCTCTCCTCTTCTTCAATTCCTATATACATATGTAAATAATTTTCTCAGATTACTCTTATGCGTATGTAAGAACTTGCATGTATTAGTGAAAAAGATTATCACTCTGGTCAGTATACTCTTTCATTTTCTTTTATGTCACAGTGGTTAGCCTTGAAATATCAGTTGCCGTTACATCGCTCAGTATAATTGCGCGTATGCGTTCGAGAGAATCTTAAAACATCTTTGTCAAATTCACAAATCTTTGGTTATTATCATATATATCTATGTGATATTTCTATTTTATTCTTCTTTTGCCAGGAAGGAACAGCGTATTGCTAAGAATTGTAAGAAATCTATTTATTTTAATATTGAAAGTATCAATCCGAACTAGAATGCAAGTTGTTAGTGCATAATTAGATCGCTAATAACAGATTTGTAATAGACTTTTTTTTTAGAATACGATATATATCTATCTTATTGATATCTCCATCTTTTAGTTTGCCAGTGAAAGGGATCGGAAATGTTTGAAGATGAAAACATTTTGATTTTTATTGTCTTGTCGTAATTCGATCAGTTATTAGTAATATTTGTTCTCTTTGCATTCTGGCTTTAATTGATTTTTGTATATTAAAAAATATTTTCTATTTTCTCCATTTACTTAACATTTGTAGATATATGTATAATTTTCTCAGCGATACAATCTTGTTCAATATCGTCAAGATGAAATATTTGTATGTCGGTTTTATATTTTTCGTATGTAACTATGTGACATGGAGCCAGGATTTAGCATTTCCAACTGATGAGGAGACATCTCACGTCAGTGGTGGCAACTCCACGGTAATATTAATATAAAATTATATAAAAAGCTATTTTTCCTTACATAAAAATCTTCGCAGATAATAGATGACCGTATACCCATATCAATAGAAGGGAGTTGCCCAAAAGACATGCTTCTCTATCCAGGTGACAGTTCGAAGGATGCTTGGGTGTGCGATTGTAGACCTCGATTCTTATATTTCCCGTTGAACAATTCCTGTTACGAAGCTTACAGACAAGGTCCTTGTCCGCCCAAGAATTATGTTGTTCTTCCTGAAGATGATGCGGTCCCTCGTTGCGTAGAGAATCCTTGCTTGAAAGATGGCGAGGTTCCATTCAATGACACATGCTATCCTCTTCGAACAAGAGGCGGCCCATGTGCGCCTGATGGGGTAATAGGTGTGAATGAAACTACTTTCCAATTGGAATGTGTAAAAACAAATATTGCACCTTTCATAATAATTGACCCTCCCTCAAGGATATGTCCACCAGGTAGTCGTAGAAGCACACTCGGAGTATGCAAAAAAGTGAATACATAAGTATTGTAATTCAGTTTGTCACATACTCTCTATTTTGATGCCTTATATATATTTTACATAATTCAACTTATATATATTTCATATGAGAAATATTGCAATGTCATATATTCTCCGTCTTCCAGGTTAAACATTATAATAGAATACGCCGGACTGTATCAGGATAATTTCGATAAATGTGTATTTTGTATTATAACTTATATACAAAATTACACGCGGTCTTTATAATAGACACACTTAAAGAGCATTAAATAACAAAATGTAGACATCAATATCTTATTTTATATTCATAATTTTAATAATCTGATGGTCTATTATAAATTACACATGCATATAAATAAATATATATAATATATATGTGTATATATGTATACTATATAACTGAATCAGAGAAATATAAAAGAAGCAATTGATTATATTGTTATAGCTTTCATTACTTATATTCCTATAACTATATTTACATTTGTTTATTATAAATGGAAATATATACATTGCTGACACGATTTCTTTTTATACAAATCTTATATATCTAAACTTGGAAAAAATCGACTAAACGATATATACAAGATGTCACAATTCGTGACTGAAATTTTAATAACATATTCCTGACTTAAAAATAAGGCGACAATCCTAATACCAAAATGTCGAGGCTATAATAGTTTTTAAATTAATAGCGGTTAAAGTTAACTATTTAACTAATTAAGTTAACTACCACAGAGCTGATATTTCATGCATTCAGGGACAATACATCACATAAGCAGATGTTTGAACACCTATGTTCACTCCATAGTTTGAAGTAACAACGTAATAAATATACAATAATGTAGAAATATTTCACTAATCATGTTTAAACATAGAAAATAATTACGTATGCAACATACATAACAAAAACATTACGAGATATTAAAAATAACAAATATATGTAACAAATTATTTTAAATATGTATAATGAATTAATTTAAAAACTATTATAGCCTCGATATTTTGATATTAGCATTTTATTTTATTTTTGAGTCAGGAATATGTTATTAAAATTTCGGAATACAATTTTACAAATTGTGGGACACCCTATATATATATGTATATGTATGTCAAGGCTTTTAAATAATTTTTCTTCAAATATAAAAACTATAATAAATTTATAATATTCTAAAAATATTTTACTATATATGCTAATCTGTAATGAAAAGATTGCCACACTTTTTATAAAATCGATTGGCTTTGAATGGTACACTTCATCGATATATTACTCTGCTCATATTAATTTTATGCTTTAAAATTAACGAACACAAAGAATTTCACACAAATATATATTCTTTGAGATTTATATCTCGTTCGTCTTTGCAAATCAACAAACATATTATCAAAATTACCTTGAGAAACAAAATGTTAGACTACCGACTTTTAACTTTGCTCCTGCTGCTGATTACTCGTGGTAGCTTCTATTAATCTTTGCCTTTCTCTATACATGGAAACTTTCATATTCTCTAGCTGATGATACCTTAATAGCTTTAAAACAGCGAAAACCGACAAACCGACCCAAATTGATAAGCTGCTCCAAATACCAAATTGAGCAGCACCAAGTTCGATATGAAAACCTGATGTGTCAATACCATCAGCCTTGTCAATATCATTTCCAGCTGCTAATTCACATGATGGAAACCTCTTGGTCATACATTGACACCAAGTCATGAAACCTAAAGTTACAATAATCGCAGCTATTAAACTGATAGTGGTGAGAACGATGGAAGTTACAACGTCTACAAATGCAGAGAGAAATGAACTGTCTTCGCCACGGTACATAAACAGGGACAATCGGTAGATCTGTATAGTCGATGTTATGAGGAGTATCAGGCCTACGAATATTGTATAATTGCAGTATAATTGTGACGCCCAATTTACTACAAATTGGCCATCTGACTCTTGCCATACTCCAGTTGAAAACAAAAGACAATGTCCCCTAAAAAAAGAAACAATAAAACTCGCAACGCACAATAGAAAAAAATTATGATTAACATCGAGCTTCGATTTTACCTAAACTCATCCTGATGTAAACTCATAGGCACGATGATGCAAAGCGACAGAATAAGGGCCACAACATAGCCCGCTATTTGGCTGAGCAACAAAATATTTGACAGTGCCATATTTTAAGACGATGTATGGGACGATCGGACAAGAATATTTCACGATTTAATGTATCGACAAAATTATACGCGATTACGATAAGCCGGAATCTATGTATTCTATTTTTTTCATTGCACAGAATAAACACGGATCGAGGCCGACCGTCTAACGTATTTGCAATTGTCAAAATATCCGTGGTCACAGAATTCCTATTAGAGTCACGGTGTGGTGCAGATGGTGCAGGGGATACGTTGCCAGCAACGACATACAATATATACCTAGACCAAGTATTCCCATGTTTTTTAGAGTGCGATTATATGTAACGCGGTACGCGGTACAGAAAACTAACTAGGTAACTCTAGAAACCGCGCAAATCGCTGCATAGGACATTACCCTAAAGCGGGGAGTACAGCTCTCGCATAACGCATGAAGGATAAGAAATGATTAACCAATCAGAGTTCTTATTTTATATTGGGTCATCTAAAAAGTATCCGCGGTTTTTTGTCACTAGATATATGACCATCAACACACATCTAGTGACAAAAAACCGCGGATACTTTTTAGATGACCCATATAAAGGTCATTTCACACGAACTTGCATAACATATGCATAAGAAAATCATCCAATCGTATTTTACGTTCGTCTTTATGACAGAAATATGATCGGATAATTTTCTTTATGCATATAGTTATGGAAGTTGTGTGGAATGGGCCTAATACTAGAGGTTTGTTCGCGTTTCATACTCCAAATTAATTCAGAGAGCACTTGGATCACAGATAAGGTTTGTTCACTTTTGTAATTTTCACCTCATTTCGAGATACACAATCGACTCATAGTGTGCAGTGAACGCGATGAAAACATTGAACTGAGGGTCAATTCTGTATTTTCAAACAAGGTGAAAATTACAAAAGCGAGCAAATTTACTAGATAATTTACTTGACCAATAAAAAAAAAAAAATAAAATAATTAGTATTCTAGTAAATTCGTTCACTTTTATATTGTAATTTTCACCTTATTTCAAGATACAGAATCGATCCCCTGATTGAGCTATTGAACAGAGAACCATCGGACGGCAGCGGCGGCGCGATCTATCAACAGCCTCGGCGCCCTCGACAGGCGACAGACTCGACAGGCTGTGTTGCACTGTATTGTGCCAAGCGTCATGGACGCAAGCGGTGCGCGTGTTGGGTGCTGCGATTCATTTGTATAGACCACGGGTCTATTCGTCACGCTGTTAAACACGTTTGTTCGACGTCAAGATATGCCTTGCGACAACGTGCCTGGCGCAACGAGATGATACCTTATTACAGACGCGACACGCTAGAATTTTTGGAATAGATCGCGCAGACAGGCTCCGCGGGGCGATGAGCAAAATGTCTTGGCTCGGTTGGTCGGCGGACATCAAGAAGAGGGCCTGCAGATACTTGCTGCAGCGTTACCTCGGCCAATTCCTCGAGGAGCTCACGTTGGATCAATTGACCGTCGATCTATACAATGGCACGGGACGTGTTGTCAACGTCAGCCTCGATGTGCAAGTACGCAACTTGCTTTTCTTTGTCTTAGGGATCGATTGTTTGTACAATTTCTTTCTTTCTCTTCCTTTCTTAATTAAATTCTGTAAAGATAATATCGCATCGCTCGATTGCATATTCGGTAAACATCGCATGTTCTTGTCTCTTAGAATATTGGAGATTAAATATTTACATCGATGTGTCAATATCTCGTATTCGTGTTGCCCGAAAATCAAACAGCTGATCGGGATTTAAATACTTCGCAAAACACTGTATATTTAACGACATGATGACTAATCGCAGTTTTTAATATATTCTGTAATGGATATAAAATATGACAGAATGAAGATAGATTAATTTATGACAGTTAATCTAGGATGAATAATTATAGAATTTATTTCATGTGAATGCGTGTATGTATTGTGTGTGTGTATGTGTGTATGTGTATATGTATGTGTACGCGCGCATATATGTATATGTACGCGTGAGTCAATTTGATAAATATAATATGTATAAACTAATAAATAGCACATGTTGAAATAATACCTTAATTAATTTGATTTTTGTTTACTATTATATTTTTTAAATGCCATATTATACATTTATCTCATTTTATTTTTTTAATTGCATAAATTTTGACATTTGTTCCTAAGATTTTTTTTTCTTTTTGTTAATAGACAAATAATAAATATTAATCATACATTAACTAATTATTGAAGCAATAATTATAATAAATTATGTAAACGCAGTTGGTTGCAACTTGTGCATAAATTAATGAAATACGACTTAGTGCGAGTCATCGGTAAACACCATTTTCTGGATATTAATAAATACTAATTTATACAGACTCTATTTCCTAACGCGATTGATTTGTTTCCTTACTCGTGAAATGGAAACGCCGATTTTTTACTTGCAAAAAATTTTTTTCGTTAATCATAAAATCGCACAGATCATAGACTCTAGCACCAAGTTCTTTTTCTTATTTGCATTCTAAATAATAACTGTTTATTTGTGTAACAATTATTTTTTTTTTTAATTCAGTATATATATAATTGAGAAATATTTCTATAAAAGGATAAATATTTATTGCCACAGGCACTCAATGAGATGGGGGAGCAACAACATCTCCCACTGGAATTCGTCGACGGTTTTATAATGGAGATATCTCTTAGTATACCATGGTCGGCATTACTTAGTCAAGCAAGTTATGTAGAAGTCAAGGGTCTCAGACTTACGGTACAACCACGACAAAGAATTGAAACAGGGACATCGATGTTCGAATCTATGTGGAGTTCCATGACGTCCAGTATGCAACTCGCTCAGGAGTGTTTGCAACAAGACGCGGCCAATGCGGGAAATGCTCAACCCTTAGAGGCAGTGGAACTGTTTGCACAGACTATAGATTCAAGTATGATGCTTGATTTACGTTGTACTTTTAAATCCAAAGTTAGCTTTTTTATTATTCATGTATCTTTCAGTTTTATCTAGGGTCAAAGTGAGATTTATTGATACTGTGATACGTTTGGAACACGTACCTTTGAATTCTTCCACGGGAGTAGCGATCGAAGTATGGATACAAAATCTTGAATATTCTGATGAGGCTGGATTAGATCCTAGTAATACATCTCTGGATCCCAACGAATCTGCGAAAGGTTACATCATTTCAGCGTTTTCCACTAAGCGTTTTTACATGGAGGGAGTAACTTTTCATACTGATGAATTTCCCTCGCACGCGAGAACGTTCTCTAAAAGTATGTTGGCTAGTACATGCTCTACTCCCGATTCTAAGGTAAAGGTCTGTTTTAGTTGATATTGTAATAAAGATGAAACAATTTTCAAAAATTTATTTTTTTTCTTCCTATATCAACAGAACTCGGACAGTCTATTTACCTCCGCACAAATGTCTCCTACGCAGAACATTCTGCACACTCCTCCAGATGGAAATACTGTTAATAACTCGAACGAATCAAATCCTATCATGTTTGCTAAGCTAGCAGGTAGACAAGAAGTGAGATTAAAAATGAAACAAGGAGAAGGAATATCGGGACCAAAGGTGAAGTAAATTTATATTTTAAACTCACGATATTATATATAATTCTAATCTCTCCATTAAAAAAATATTACATTTATTTGATGTAAAAATATCGTAAAATTTAATTTTACAATTACTTACGGTAAAATTGCGATAAAATGATAATTTATTGGTAATTTTGATAAAATTTGTGTCTTATAATTTTATGCACAAATAGACTGTATTTTCGTTCTTATGTATAAAATTTTTAAATTAGATGATATGTATTTTTTTCTTTCTATCATTTAATTAATTAATTATTTAATTTATTTAAAATTTAAAATTTAACTATAAAATCAAAATCATATGATAGATAAAATTATTTTTAATATCTTGTGATTTTTCAAATTATGTGATCTTTTTCATAATTTAATCAGAACAAAGCTCACTAAACGTTATCAATTAACATAAATATAATTAATATATTTTTGTTTGATTATATGTGATTTTATATTATTGGGTCATCTAAAAAGTATCCGCGGTTTTAGTCACTAGATGATGTTGATGGTCAACACATCTAGTGACAAAAAACCGCGGATACTTTTTAGATGACCCAATATTTTTGTTTTTATTCTAGTAAAAACATGACAGTCGCTGAAAAGTAAAATAGCAAGCAAATAAAAGTATTATAATAAGTTTATAAGATATGAAAAATATAATATAAGATTATGTACCTGTCACACTTTTTGTTTTCAAAATTAAAAAATTTATTTAAAGTTTTTCTACTTACTACGTAGACTATAAGTTTAGAAGGTATAAAAAATATAATTAACTTCTTAACTTTTAAGGACTACTGTACCTGTCACTTTTTGTTTTAAAAATTTTAATAAAAAATTTATTTGAAGTTTCTCTAGTTACTACGTACTTATATTGAGTTTCTCAATTATTCTATCAATATGTAATTATGTAGTATCGAAATGAAAATTTAAATTGAATTGTTTTTCAACTTTTTAACTTAATGACTAAATACTTTTAAATCAAATTACTTTATCTTTATAATTTTTTAAAATTATCATTTTACCAGCCTTCATAAATTATTAATTTATGGTAAATTACCGAATAAATTATCGTAAAATTTGATCATTTTCATCTCTACATTTATTCTAAAATATAATAATATATTTATAATATATTTTAGAATAAATTGTACTTATTCTAAAATAATATTTTTAATAATATTTTTTCTATCCAGATATTTCTATTCTTTTAAAATGAAGAAGTAATATATATTTCAGGTAGAACTGGAAATTACTCTAGGATCGCTTACTTTGTTCCTGAGTCCTAGGCAGCTTCATGCTTTATTAGAATTAGCGCATGGCCTAGCATCTCCAGATCTAGAAGATGTCAGTAATGTTGTTCCAAGAAGATACACGGAAAAACCTATGGCTAGCAGTGATTTCAATCGTATAGAACGTGAGCTTATTCATCAAACACATCCTATGCAAGATTTGAAGACTACAGTACGTTAATTTATTGATACTTTGATACATTCTTATGTTTGTACAATAAAAATGTTGTGTTTTATTATAGGATCTACGATACGCTCAAGGATGGTCGACTGGATCTGTGGACGAATCTGATAACGAAGACGAATTCCTACCAATGAAGTTGGCGGGATCTTCTTCGATGTGTGATTCGATCACAAGTAAT